GGGGGGTGCCAGGAAGATGGGGGCTGGAGGAGCCTGCAGAGGCACCTGGTGTGTGGGGGTGGGAGGCCCTGGATGACAATGGGCCAGGCCTCCCCACCTAGGGTTAATGTGTAACCTGCAGTCCTGGCCTCAGGCGAGGCCATAGTTAGGACTTTCCCCTGCCTTGATTTCAGGGACCCCAGGTTAGGGGGTCTAGGACCAGTGAAGGTCAAGGTCATTGCAGCTCATGGATGGGGCTCACCTCCACTGCTGCCCCTGGTCTGTTGCCCCAGTCCCCTGTCTGTGTCTACTCTGTCATGTTGTTTTCCTCCACCAAGCTTATCTTAGAAAACGCTATTGCCTCCAGTCATAGGCTTATTGGAGCCCAGCATCTGGTTGGGCATGGTGTCCATCCTACCTAACAGAGGCAAGAGGAAGGCCCAGGGAGGTTTAGAAACTGGCTTGAGGATGCACAACCAGAAGGCCCAGAGAGGTTTAGAAACTGGCTTGAGGATGCACAGCCAGCAAGTGAGGTAGAAAAGGGTAAGATTCATAGGACTAGATGCAGGAGAGAGCATGATGCACACTCACCACCACTGTGGGCTTCACCACCTCAGAGACTGGAGACTGTGAGTCAGCCCCCTCCCAAGGGGTACCCAAGTCATCTGGCCGTTGACACTCAGAGAAAGTGAGACTTTGCCCTAGGGCAAATAGAGAATCTGGGAGAAAGAGAAGCAGTCCCCATCTTCTAATCTAGGCTATCTCCATGGATCAAACTCCCCAGTATGGCAGGAAGCAGGTGCGGGGGTGAGAGGGTTGGGGGGGGGGTGGAAGCAGCCTGGCAAATTGGTGCTGGCTTCCTGCTTTCTGGGCATGGGCCCCAAGGCCTGAGGTGTTTGGGGTAGCAAGCACTGGAAGATGGGAAATTAGATAGCAATTGCTTTGTGAAAGTCTTGCTGTATGACTCTGAGCAGGGTCTTGCCTTGTCTGGTCCCAGCTGTCGTACCTTTAAATATAGCTGTTACCTATAGGCGTGGAGTGGGCTGATGAGGTTCCAGTGCCTATAAGGGTGTTTTGGAAGAGGGAAGAGGATTACTTTTGCTAAGCTGAGGGGGTTCCTATGCTAGGATCTAAAGGGGACCCTGGGCGCTCTGATTAGCATCCTGGGGCTTCAGGACCTTCAGGCTCCTGCTGTAATCTTGGTCATTGACTTTGCTGGGAGATATCAGACATTATATTTCAACCTTACTGAGCTTCAGTTTTTCCTTCTGTGAAACTGGGCATTTGACTAGGCCCACCTAGGGGGTCTTCACCACCGCTGACATTTGTGGCTCTGAGAAACCCCCTGAAACCCCCCAGCAGGATGAAGGATGGTTCTGAAGCCAGACAGCCCCCAGGAGAAGGCTCAGGGCTTCGTGCTGGTTTCCCTTGGTGCCGAGCAGCTACGTCAGACCCCAAATGTGGGTTTGTGGGGCTGTATCAGGCAGGAGGCTCCTGCGCTTTATATAACAAACCTGCAGATACAAGTCAGAGCTGAGATTTTTTTCTCCCCAAGCACTGACGCATTCACTCCCACTCAAGTCCTGGCAAGAAAGAGAAAAAAAATCCGTTTTAAGCTCCTATAGTCTTCACCCCTGAGAAGCAGTAGGGGGTGGACCGGGAAGGCAGGGGAGGATACATTCAGAGTGTCAGATCCAGACTGCTGTCGAGTTTAAATAAAAATGCCTCCATTTCTCTGTCAGTTAGGGTTTTATATATCACAAAACACTTCTTCATGCATTTTGTCCATTCATTCAACACATAGTTACCGGACACACCAACTATGCGGCAAGCTGTGGGTTGCTGAATCCATATCAATGAATAAACCACCAATAAACTTCACCTTCAGGGTACTGAAATTTGACTGAAGAAGACAGATGATAATGAAATAAATTAGTAAATCATTTAGTCTATTAGAAGGAAAAAAAAAGGTACCCTGATTAAAAAATAAAGAGAAAGGAGGGGAGATATTGGTGTTTTAAATAGGAGCTTCAGAGAGCCTCATGTAGCTGGCCACAGCATTTGCACAGTGTTGAGAAGGGCCAGGAAGAGAGCTGGGGAGCTATCTCCAGAGTAGTGGTCCTCAGTGGGTGATTTTGCCCCCCCCTCCTTCCAGGGGACATTTGGCAATTTCTGGAGATATTTGTTGTTCCAAGGGCCCCAGTATATTTGATTCAGGGGTGCTGCTGGACTCTAAACTTCCTACAGTGCACAGGGCAGTCTCCCCAACAAAGAATTATCTGATACAAAATGCCAAAAGTGCAATACTGAGAAACCCTAAGGGAAGAGTGTTCCAGACACTGAAAAAAAAATGTTTGTTCATACAACCACCCTGTGAAGCAGAATTTATCACGTCCATTTTACAGGTGAGGGAACGGAGGCTCAGAGACTAAGTGGCTTGCCCAGGACACACAGCTGAGGAATGGCTCAGCCCATGCTCTATCACCTCACCCAGAGACCCAGAACCCTCCTGCTTGTCCAGCCTGGAGGAGACCTCCTCCAAGATGCCTCCCCTGACCACTTACAGTTGGAAGTGCCTCTTCCTCATGTAAATCCCAGTATGTTTGTGTTATGTTCTGGAACATAGAGTTTCTACCTGATGTCTAAGGCAGCCTAGAACAGTGAGACGTTTAGGGGCTGGGTGAAAAACCAGCTCTGCCACTAAGCAGCTGTGTGAACCCTGGCAAGTTGTTTAACCTCTCTGATTCTTCTGCATCTGTAAAATGGGGATAATAATATTCCCTTTGCAGGGATGTTGGCCATTCAGGAGAGCAGACATCCATGGGTGGGACACAGAGTCTGCCATACAGTAGGTGCTCAACAAGAAAAGCTCTGATGTTTTGAGACTTGTTTTACCTGCTCATCAGGTCAGGAGCCTTCTGAGGGCAGTGGTGGGCCATGCTCATCCCACTGTGCCTCATAGCACCCAGCACAGGGCAGTAGGGAAGAACGAGCATTTGTTGGTTGATTGAATAAACATGGTGATCTGACGACGTTTATTGGGATGGAGGTGCTCCCTCCAACCTCAGTACCAGCAACTGTGAGAGACAGAACTCCAGGTTAAGGACAAGAGGGCTTTGTATATATTCAGAAGTGATTTAAGCAAGTGTTGGCTGAGTCAGAAAGTGGATGGATGAATGGATGGGTGAAACATGGGTGAGTGGGCTGGTGAGGGATGGATGGGTAGGTGAGATGAAGGAGGGTGGGGGATGGACAGGTGGTAGGTGAGTGAGGCGGTGTGGGTAGAGGGATGGATGGGGACAAGTAGGAGAGGGGTGGGAGGTAGACAGGTGGGTGGGTGGGGCATGGGAAGGAGATTGACAAGAAAGAATGGATGGATGGATAGATGGATGAATGGACGAATGGACAGACAGGTGAATGGATAGGTGGATGGAGGTGAAAGAGAGATGCATTAACGAGGAATAAGTAGATTGAGACACAGTTTCATTCAATGCGCATTTACTGAGTATCCACGCTGTGGTGATGCTGCAAAACACTGTGACACCAAGACAGATGAGATCTCGGCCCTCCTGACATTCTTATGACAGATAATAGACAACTGGTTGAATGAAGCATTCTCCTTATTTACAGAAAAGAAAACTCCAGTTCCTAGAAGGGGCAGGCTGGCCTAGGTTAGTTACACAATCTTCCTGGCAGAACCAAGAGCTAAGCCTGGCTAACAGCATTCAGGCACCAGGGCAAATGGTGGGGACTTTGGGAACAGGGTGACTTTGCAGCTCTCTAAAGCCCTGGGCAGTGGCCTTCCCTATCCTGAATATGGGGCCTACAGAGTGGATCTCCCCTCCTGCCCACTGGACAGCCTCCTTTGGATCTTCCTATCTCAAGTCACTCAGGGGGCACAATTTTCTCTGGGGCTTCCCCAGGAAGACATCTGCCAGGCCAGTTCAGGGGACTGCCACCTGGCTCCATTTGTGGAGTGTGGGTATGCTGTAGCTGAGTCATCCTGAAGTCCCACTGGGGAAGAAAGGAGGCAACCAGCCTGCACGGTGACCTTCACATCCTGGTTCCTCAGAGATAAGCGACAGCCCGTGACTGGAGGAGCCTGTCCTGCCCATCCCAGGAGTTACCAGTGCTGCCCCTCAGTGACTCAGCCCAGCACTGCAGGCCCCAAACCACACTTGCCATAGGCGGGTGGGCCAAGGCTAAGGAGGAGTGATGGTGAGGGGAAGAGGCAGCTTCTAGAAAGTCTCTGTGTGTGTGTGTATGTTTTGTGATGGTGGAGTATGTTTGCCTGGCCACATATGTGTAGGTACTTGTGCAGGAGCAATGTGTGCTTTGGTGGGACCCAGGGATCAGTTGGGGGCCTCCCAGATCCTGCAGGGCTAGCTAGATAAGATCAGCTTGACTCTACTTCCCTGGAACTTCTGGCCTTTACACACTGGCAAAACTCCCCGGGGTCCTGCTTTTGCTGCATAGAACCCAGATCTGAAACTCAAGCTCCCCCTTATTTTTTACCCGCCTGCCTTCCTGAGTTTACATTAAGCAGACAAAAATTTGCTGGAGATTTTAGAGGAAAGGAAAAGGGAAAAATACAAGGCAAACAACTTCAAATGTTTATATAAAATAATTGGGTTTAGTCATCCTCATCCTGTCCTGGGGTTTTTGTCTGGCTCCACGTGGTATTCGGCCACACATGACCCTGCCCAGTGGACTCTGCCCCCCGCCCTCACCATACCCCATCTCCAACCCTCCTCTTTATACCTCTTATCTTTTTTTTATTTTGAGACAGAACCTCAAGCTGTCCCCCTGGGTAGAGTGCTGTGGCATCACAGCTCACAGCAACCTCCAACTCCTGGGCTCAAGTGAGTCTCCTACTTCAGCCTCCCAAGTAGCTGGGACCACAGGCGCCCACCACAATGCCCAGCTATTTTTTTCTGGTTGCAGCCATCATTGTTGTTTGGTGGGCTGGGCTGGATTCAAACCCACCACCTTATGTGCATGTGGCTGACGCCTTAGCCACTTGAGCCACAGGCGCCAAGCCACTCGTTCGGATTCTTAATGGTAAAAAAAAGGATCTACTCAGCACCTTTCTTAGAAGGCAGTTGTATTCACATGTTTAAAAAAGTGTTTTATCTGTTACATGTCCCTAGTTGTATGGATGTCCTTGTGTGTTTTTATGTGCAGGAATATATATACCATGGGTACCCCCCAAATTATATACACATTTTAAGAGATCCTTTTGGAAGTAAAATTGATCATTACCCCAAAGTGTACGGATCGCAGGTACAATCTAGGTACCCTTGACCAGTAATGGTACCTTCAATTCAATTTCAAAAAGTAATGCATAAATAACATCTCTTAAAATGTGTGTACATTTTTTGGTACCCTCTGCATATGTGCCACATGTGCTTATGTATGCATGTGTCACAGGATTGGCACATGAGATGTGGATGGGCAGAGGTCTGGGTACATCTCAGAGGTTGTGGAAATCCATGACTATGAAACAGCCTGAGAAAGATGACCGGTGTGCACCTGGGGTGCAGAGCAGGAGCTTAGCAGGTGACTCCCTGGGGTAAAGGCAGGGTAGGGGGATGGGTAGGACTACAGGCTACCTGGGAACAGGAGCCAGGGCTGGTAGGAGAACCTGTTCCGTCACTTGGTGGCTGTGTGACCTCAGGCAGTTCTCAGCTCTTCTCAGACTCATCTCTCCTGCTAGATGATAGACCAGCTGCGGCAACTTAATTTTAGAAATTAAACACTTCATACATGCCAGGCGAAAAGAGCTTTATACATAAGAATTCATTTTTGTTAATCCTTATAACAAGCTGATGAGGAAGATACTATTTCTGTCCCGATTTTACAGGTGGAGAAACTGAAGGACAGAGAAGTGTGGAGGGGCAGGGGGTGCGGGGACCTGAGTCAAGGGCCTTGAAGGTCAAGGCCAGGTGTGCTGGGCATTGGCTGGGACTTGGGCACTGTGGCTGGACAGGTGTGCTAACTGGGGGCCTCTGTGAATATAGGACAGCACCATGGTGTGAAGAAATGCCAAAATGAGTGCAGCCAGTTGACCAGGAAACCAATACCAGTGGCTTTGCTCGTTGGCTATGAAAACACCCAGAAGTCGTGCAGCAGGCATGCCATCATGTAAGTACTGCCCTCATGGTCTTTCAAATTCCCATCTCAGGCCTCTGCTAATTCGTACCCACAGGCCACTTCACTGACCTTAATATCTGCACCACATAGCAAAGGTGGGGGTGGCTGTCTGAATGGCCCTGGCTTGTGGCCTGGAGCAGCCACTGAGGAGGGCAATTCCTCCTGGGCTGAAGTACATTTTAAATAGCTCTTGGAACCCACCGGAAAGGCAAAGTGTGGCAGTTTTGCAGTGCAGGGTACAGACTCCAACAGACTAGTGGAAATTCTGGCTTCCTCTCTCCCTGGCTGGGTACCCCTGATCACACGGCTTACCCTCTGCACCCTGGTTTCCTTGTCTGGAAACTGGGTAGCCAGAAGCATGAAGGGGCACGTTGTAACTAAAGTGCTCAGCAGGGTGCTGGAATAGCAGCCACAGAGATCATTATTTCTCTTTGACCGATGAGGAAACAGGGTTCCCATGAGACTTTGGGAAGTGATTAAGCTGAGTCATTTTACCCCTGCCTGTTAGGGACCCCTTGCTCCTCCTGGGCCCTCTCCTGAGTATTGCTCAATTGCCCAGCCCTGAGGCTTTTCTCCAAAACTGACTTTTGGGCCCAGGGGCCAGGCAGCAGGATAGGCCTATGCCTTCTAGGTTGGGCTGAAGGAAGTACAGCCCCCCTCTCTGTGACTGTGCAGCTTCTAAGAGGGGCAAGGTGCAGGGCATGTGCCTGCCTGACCTCTTCACACATCATCAAGGCCCATCTCCCCCAAGAGTCCTCTAGGTGAAGGGGAGGAGGAGGCGGGGTTGCCATGCCAGAGGGGACCCCCAGGGTCACACCTGCTTCCTGGCCTTCTCCGCTTCTCAGCATCCTGGCGCCGGGTGCATTTACTTTACCTGCCTGAGCCTCAGTGTCCCCATCTATGAAATGGGGATGAGTGTGCCGGTGTGCCAGCTTCTTTTTTTTTTTTTCTTTTTGAGATAGATTCTCACTCTGTCACTGCCCTGGGTCTAGTGCTGTGGTGTCATCATAGCTCACAGCAACCTCAAGCTCTTGGGTTTAAGCAATCCTCATGTCTCAGCCTCAGCCTTCCAAATAGCTGGGACTATAGGCACCCATAACTCCCAGCTAATTTTTCTATTTTTAGTAGAGATAGGGGACTGGCTCTTACTCAGGCTAGTCTCTTCTGAGCTCAGGCGACCCACCTGCCTTGGCTTCCCAGAGTGCTAGGATTATAGGCGTGAGCTACCATGCCCAGCCCATGTTCGGGTTGGTTTCTTTGCAGGATAGGTGTGAGGTTTAAACAGAGAAAAAATGCCAAACACAGGCCATGGCATGGAGCAAGTGGTTGAGTCAGCTCTAAGTGGTGGTCTTGGTGGCATACCAGCCACACACAACTTCAGAGGAAGGTCAAGACTTGGAGCTCTCTGGCCTACGGGGCACTCTGGCACTCTGGCCTATGGGGCTTTAGTGCCCTAGGAGCCCCCTCAGCCCAAGAACATGCACCAGGAAAGGAGGCAAGGGGCCCAGACACAGCCGGTAGCCATGAATTGGAGAGAGGAGGAACAGGACTTTGTGACAGAAGGTCCTTTCCAGAATGCAAAGGCCCCACCATGGAGCTCACCCGACATACACCTGGCATCAGAGGACGCCTGTGAAGTCCTCTCCCAATCAGAAGACTCAGCCCAAAGCCCCCTGCCTCGATGGTACCAGTATTATTATTAACATTATTACCATTTTTACCTATGATTGATCTACTCTCCAATAACACAGAAGTAGGATTATCCACTTGTCTCCTTTTGCCTGGGACTTTTCTGGTTTTAAAATGGAATGTCCCTGGCTCGGTGCCTGTAGCACAGTGGTTACGGCGCCAGCCACATACCCCGAGAGTGTCGGGTTCAAACCCCACTCAAGCCCCCTAAACAACAATGACAACTGCAACAAAAAATAGCTGGGCATTGTGGCAGGTGCTTGTAGTCCCAGCTACTTGGGAGGCTGAGGCAAGAGAATAGCTTAAAGCCCAAGAATTGAAGGTTGCTATGAGCTGTGAAGCCATGGCGCTCTACCCAGGGTGACAGCTTGAGACTGTCTCAAAAATAAAAACATAAATAAATACAATGGAATGTCCTTTATCCTGAGAGACCCCTCCATGCCAGTTTTTCTAGGACAGTTGGCCACCCTACAGATGGCAGACATTCCTATCTCTGTTTCTCAGGTGAGGACCTGGAAGCGGCTTGGAGGTTGAGTCACCCCAGGCCTCACAGCTAATAACAGCAGGATTTCCCGTCAGGTCTGCTCACCTGCAGAGCATTGTGGGGGGCTCCCACAACCCACAGGCCTGGGTTTCTGGTACCTGGACATCACTGGGTCCCTGTCTTCCTCCCTTGTAGCTTCAAGACCAAACAGAGCAGATCCTTCTGTGCTGATCCAAATCAGAAATGGGTCCAAGAAACTATGGCACGTCTAGACAGCATGACTGCTGCTCCGACTCAAAGTGCTGGCAAATTTGAGAAGCAAATTGGTGGTTCTACGTCCAGAACCACTCCAGCCACCAGGAGAATGAATGAGTCTGCAGTCCTGGAGCCTGACGCCACAGGGGGAAGCCATAGTCTGGGTACGACTCCTTCCCAGGAGGCAGTCGGGACCTTAGGAACTTCCCCAGACCTGTCAATGGGAGTGGCTGGTTCCTGGGCCACCAGGTTCCCTACTTCAAAGGCTCAGGATGGGGGACCTTCAGCCAGGCCTATGGGCACTGAGTCTTCCTCCATGGCTGCAGTCTCCACTGCCACAACTTGGCAGAGTTCTGCTGCCTACCCACCTGGGTCTGGTCTCTGGACTGAGAGAATGATCTCTGAGGGCCCCTCCACTCAGGCCCCCTCCACCCAGGCCCCCTCAACCCAGGCCCTCTCCACCAAGGCCCCCCCAACCCAGACCCCCTCAACCCAGGCCCCCTCCACCCCAGCCCCCTCCACCCAAGCCCTCTCCACCCAGGCCCCTCCAGCCCAGGCCCCCACCATTTCCCACCCAGACCTTGAGGAGAACACTGGCTCTGAAGACCAACTCGTGTGGACGGAGGGACAGAGCCCCATTCCAGCTTCCACAGATGCTTTCCAGGACTGGGGGCCTGGCGCTGTGGCCCATGATCCTGTGGTCCCTGTTTCTTCTGAAGGGATCACCAACAGGGAGCCAGTGGCCTCAGGCAGCTGGGTCCCCAAGGCAGAGGAAACCACTGGGGACCCCCAGAGTCTGCGTGTTCTCATCAGTCCTGCCCCTGACCCTCAGGCAGCCACCCGGAGGCAGGCGGTGGGGCTGCTGGCCTTCCTCGGCCTGCTCTTCTGCCTGGGGGTGGTCATGTTTGCCTACCAGAGTCTCCAGGGCTGTCCTCGCAGAGTGGCGGGAGAGGTGGTGGAAGGCCTTCGCTATGTTCCCCGGAGCTGTGGCAGCAACTCCTATGTCCTGGTGCCAGTGTGAGCTGCCCCCCTGCCTGCATCCAGTCGTTTGACTCAGACAGCTGCCTGGGGTCCCCTGTTCTCATACCCCGCTCACCTGAGGGCCTGACTGGAGTGGGGAGGTGTGGTTCTCCAGGTGTGAACTGCTCCCAACTCCCAGGCACACCCCAGGAGACCAGCTTTGACCATTCTCAGACCATGGAGACAGGGAGTGGCCTCCCAACTCAACCCAAATCCAGAAACACTCCTCGGCTGCTGGCTGGTCAGAGGTTTCCTTTGACACCGTCCCCGTCCCAGTGGACGATTATTTATTGAATGCCCTCTCCCCTGACCCACATCTCTCTGTGGTACCAGGTCATCCCATCTCACAAAGCCCACTCCCCTTGACCTCATCATGTCTCTTGGTCCTGCTGCAGTCGCCAGTCACCCCGGCCACCTGCGGTGCTATCTCCCCACCCTGTGTACACAGCCCATGACCCAACTGGTGACATGTCTTTTTTCTTGCATGAAGCTAGTGTGGTGCTCCCCGGGACTGCTCCAAGGGACAGCTTTGCCCTTTGTTAGGCATCATGGGAAGGGGGGGGATAAAGCTATTTGGTGACTTTGATAGCTGGTCGCTTTCCTTCGGGGTCTATGATGTGCAGTGAAGGAACATGCCTCTGAGCCTGAAGGCAGGGTTCTATCCCCAGATCCCCCATCCACCCACCAAGGTAATCCCTTCTGTGAAAGAAAAGAGGGATGGCAGCTACGTGGCAATGTCGGTGTCCCTGACATCACGCACGAATTGTTCTCAAGACTCTTTTCTCCAGAGCTGGATGCAACCCCACCATCTTTATCAGCAGAGCACCTTAGATGGTCACTAAGCCAGTGGCTCAGACTGCTCTTTGGAACTTGTGATCCAGAGGCCTGCAAAGGAGTGGGTTGGGAGTACAGGTCTTGCCCTGTGGGTTCCCGAATAGGGGTGGGTAGGGCAGAGTCCAGCTCTGAAGGTCCTTCCTAGTCTCTGCCACTGAGACAGCCTGAGCTCTGCCCTGCCAGGAGGACCAGAGGGACAGAGGGACAGGTGAGGGAGGAGAGAAGGCTATGAGGACATCCAAAAGGAGCCAGGGAAGAGCTGGAGGAGCAGCTGCTCACCTGATGCACCTTTAGGGCCTTGTGCAGGCAGCTGGGCCTCATGTCCCCTTTGATCCCCTAGTGCCCCGTCCTTTCCTGCACCCTGGGTTCCCCTTCCATCTTTCTCCTTCCCTGAAAACACTGTTCTCTGCTCTCTAAGACCTCCCCTCATCTCTGTCCCCACGACAGTCAGAGTCAGGGATCTCCATGGTTTTCTCCACCAGTTCCATGTTTATTTCTGGAAGGGACTCGTGGGGTGGAGGAGGGGCCGCAGGCGAGGGAAGCTGTTGGGAGTTCCCTTGTTGGTTGTGCAGATTCCAGCATGTCCAGATGGGGCTGGAGCTATCTGGGCTGGCTAGTGCCCCATGGTTGGAGCTGGGCCTACAGATTTTACCCCTTGGGGTCCCTGGCTCACCTTTCCCTCTGATTTTTCCCAAGGGTGACCCTTGCCCTCCACCTAAGGAGTCTCCTAGCCTAGGCTCCACCTAGGTGCCAGGGACATGCTCCTTTGCAGATGGGTGCTCTGAGGAAGAAGACAGCTCTGGTCTACAGAGAAAGGGAAGCTGGGAGGCCGTGTCACTATGCCACCCACCCACTGGGCGTTGCACCCTGGGTTTGGGACGCTCAGGGCCTGGCCCAAGTGGATCTGAATGCACTTTGTTCTGGCTCCCCCAAGCTGGGGGAGCCTTCAAGGGGTGGGAAACCCATGATGGGGCTCCCTTCCTTTATGAGGAAGCTGCTGGGGGCAGCATGTCCCCCTTCCATGGACTTTGTAAGCTCCTGAAGCAGGACATGGACAGGGACAATCTGGGGAAAGCTTTGGAAAGAGTAGGTCAGTCCTTTTACTTTTTCAACCCTCATCATGTCTGTGCCATTTTGTATTTTACTAATAAAATTTAAAAGTCTTGTGAATCAAATAAAGGTGTCTTCTCTGGAGCAACCAAGGCCTGGGGGGGAGGGGGCAGAGGGTGGAGAAAGGGAGGGGCCAAGACACCCTCTGTGTCCTGCCCACCTGGGGCAGAGGGGCAGGAATTTCTTTTTTTTTTTTTT